CAACTCATTAGTTTCCTCAGTAGCCATTTATTCAGGATTGCCATTTATTCATTTAGGCACTGGGGGAAAAACAAAATGAAAGATGGCCTACCTTCAAGAAGCTCAGAATCTGCTGGAGCAGTCAAACCTAAGGATACTTCTGAAATGATGTAAAGATACAGATAAGATGTAGATTTCAGTGAATGCCTGGGGAAAAATACCTTATACTCCCTAGAAAGGCTGGGGTTTGTCCCTAGAGGAAGTAAGTGCTCTAAGTCTCCAGGAAGTTAGCCCACAAAAGAGGAGGGTAAAAATCACTTCAGGCAGAGAGCACAATGGCAAGAGAAGCACAGAGTGCATAAAAAAACAAACAAACAAAATAACCCCCCCCCAAACAACAACAAAAAACCAGTATACGCAATGTACAAGCAGTTTGTACTGTGGAGAATAAGATAGAAACCACAAAGTCCAAAAAGGATGCCCTCTTCTTCCTGAACAAACCTACATCTTCTTCTGGGCAGAAGTATTTGATTAGTGTACTTATAATATTCACTTTGAGCTATATTTATCTAGCCTCATCCTTAAAATGTTAATGTCAATTTTCTTTAACTCTTTTGCAATTTTTGGTGCAATACTTTTAACTACAGTAAGTATTCAGGATGTACTTTTTGAATGAAATTGAGAATCATGCAAAACCAGGCTGTGGGGGCAGCAAAGGTAAGAATACTACAACTATATATAAATGAAAAAAATACAATCCTCAGGTAATTAGAATAAACTATTTCTGTATAACCAAGAAAATATCTTTAGTGAACCCATCATAGGATTTTCCACTAGTTCCTCTCTCTCCATCATAGGGCTAGATCAGTGAGAACATTTGACAGTATTTGAAAGTTAAGTGTAGTTCTGAAGAATTTGAGTGATTTTTGTCAATGAGGTCAAGGTCTTCATTATCTTTTATTTTGGGGGGGTGCATAATAAGAACTTTTCAGTAGTCTTAGAGTAATTGAAGTACAAATGATTAGGCTTAAAATAAACTGCAGCATTATGGAATGATTGAAAAATTATTATATCACTGATTTCACCATTTCAAGGTTTACTTTGGATTTGTGAGCAATATGGAAAAAAAAAGTCTAGATTTAATAGACAGCTACTAAGTCCTGGAACACTTTTTGAAATATAGTGATTAAAAAAAAAGATATTGTTAGTTTAATGTTTTATCAAAATGTTTAGTACTGAATTTAAAGTATCTCTTCATCCTCATCTCTCTAATCTTCCTTCTGTCATCTTCTACTTATAGCCATCTTTTCCTTCCCTTTCCTATGGAAAAGCACATACTAAGGAAAAGTCACACAGGCAAAGCCCATTTCTGTGTCCACCTTAGCTCATAGTACCCTTCGTCCAGTGCAGGCAAGCATATTGCCACTTGCAAAATTCCATTCAATATCATCTTGTTTATTTCTTAGCCTATATTTTTGTTATTGTTGTTTTTATTATGTGGAGAAAAAGAACAAGGGAAAAGTGCAATTCTTCTCCTCTGAATTAGCTTGAGATGAATACCCACAAACACTAAGGCACACACGTATACACACATTCCTGAAGAAAAATAAAACTTATGTTCATTTTTCTTCTGGTTTTCTTAAATATCCCAGGACAAAATATAACATATATTAAAAATTAGTGTTTTTATTAGAACAGTTCATTTTGTTTTAATGTCTCCACATTTAAAAAATTAAAACTAAAGAAATGTGACTGACGTATTGTGAAAAAATTAGTCAAATAGGTGCTTCTCTATATTAACTGTTTCCTTGATAAGCTCATTTAAACTTCTTTACATGCTCCACTTCTAATTTTTATGTTGTTACAAAAAAGTTTCATAGAATATATTATAGAGGTATCCATCAGTTATGGCTAGAGAATTTCTATTGAATAAAAGTTTTAAAGATAAATGCACATAGAATATGATGATCACTAAAATGCTATTTAATCATGTCATATCAGTGAAGATAGTTTTCTTAGTGCAACAAAAAACCCACTGTAAACATTGCAAACAAAGCAATTAAACCTCCATGAAAAAAAATAGTCAAATTTTATTTCCTTTTACTTAAAGTAACCGGGGAAAAGCAACTTTTGCTTATACCTAAAAGAAAAAAAAATTTCAGAAGTAGGACAATGACAAACCCACTGTGGATCTTATTAGTCATGCAAATCCCATAATGTATATTCTATTATGTAAGTCTCTTTCCCCCAGAGTATATGTAATTTTGAACAATTTTTAAACTCTGTGTAAATACATGCAGTGCTCTTTTGAATAGTTTTCCCTTTCTTTGATTCCACAGTTAATTATATTCATTGGTATGTTGAGCAATGGATTTTATAATATTCAAAATGAATATATAAAGGAATTGAAAAAGTACTAGTTATTATCTACTAATAAACTTGCTAACCACACTTTTTCCTCTCTTTCTCAAAGAGTAGGGATTATTTTATTTTAGATGTTGCAAACGAATGGTATGTCTGTCATCAAAATACATTATTTTTATACTCAATAGCTATTCTATTATATATACATAGTTCAATATTTTGATTTACACAAGGAACTGTAAATTCAGTACTAGTAATCTAGTGCTAAAGGTTGATGAGCTCTGAAGTTTTTAAACAAGGACAGACCAGTTTTGAATGAATTGCAGACAGCATTTGCTGTGTGTCCAGAGGACTTCTGGCTGTCATTCCACAAATGGACAATAACTGAAATTAAGAGTTCTTAACATTTTTTTTCTAAATTTGACTGTACTTAATCCTACAGTGACCCATAGATATTCTTTACACTTATTTCTCTGTAGTGAACAATTTTCCATAATATCATTTTCATGCTACCTTGTAAAATATAACTAAAAGGGGTTTCAGTGTTCTCTGTTACATCAAAATAAAGTTCTGTTCTATTTTGAAGGCTAGTTCTATTATTTTGTAAATGTGCAGAAAGGTCAAATTTATTCCAAATAGAATTCTCATTCCTTAGAAATATTTGTTAAGATCTCAAATCACTCTCTTTTTTTTTGTCTTTATATTCTATCATCTGCCTAGATTTAACCAAAATAATTTTTCTTTCTTATCGCGTTTACTAAATGCCTCCATTCGCAGTTAAGAAAAATCACAAAAGGAGAATGAAATTAATTTCAAAGTATATATGTCTGGTATTTTTTTTATTAGAGCTGATTTTTTAGTATCGGGAGAGCTGCTATAAAAACTACAGCAGAGAAAGCTACAGTAGAGAAACTGGGGGAGATGTAAAGAGTTACAAGGAGGATCAGTTCTAAACAAGAATGTTTTGGTTCCAATCTTCAAAGGTAACATTTTCAGCTTGATGGGCTCCTGGTCCAATACATAATTTGCCTCGTTCATTCTTAGCTCAGTTGAAATACAGTGGACTGAATATCCACCAGGCCGAAGTATAAACTCACCATTTATCTATTAAAGTCATATTTAATGAAAATGAAGAGAAATTATTACCCAACTCACTCTCTTTCTCATTACAATTCCTAAAGAACTTTGCCAGGCACATTATCTCGTAGACATCATGATCAAATGTTATTGTTTGCTTTATTATCTCAGTTGGATGGTTGGCTAGTCTAGAATGAAATAGGTTGAAGGCAATACTCTCAGCCTAGAAGTCTGAATGAGGTTCCCATTCAAATGATCCTGATTGTTTGGGGGTGGGGCGGGGTGATTAGTAAACCAACTGAGCTTACACTGCATAGTAAGCGTCTGGATGCAGCACATTTACATCTAACAAGAGACCCCAGAAAACGTGTGTGTGTTTCTTAAACCTTATGTTCGGAACAAAAGACTATCTCAGCAACAGACAATCAGCACTGCATTGCTCCCTGGGATGCGAGCAACACACTCAACTGCACATTTCATTCTTCCTCAGCTCCCAGCACCACAAAGCCCCTACTCGCTTCCCACTCCTGGGTCCCCAGATTGCTCCATAGAGGGGGGTTGGGAAAGGAGAAGCCTAACGTCTATGCCTGCGCACCAGCAAGCCCACACTGGGGTCCCCGGGGCGCTGCTTTCCCCTGCCAGAGCCGCCTGGGGGAGGTAGGGAGGGGAGCCAGGGAGCTTGAGAGGGGACCGCACACCTAGACACTTATGATTTTATTTATTCACAGGGAGGAGGGGGAGGAGAACAGGCTTAATGCAGATTTTCCTCCCGAAGTTGCCTCTTCTTGGCAGATAAAGTCATTTTCTAGCTGGTGCTGGGGGCCCAGGGGAAGGTGAGGGAGAGGTCCTGGCTCTCAGGGCCAGACCTTGTCCTGTTCGTGGAGTCCAGGGGAGGCTGGGGAAGGGTGGACAGGCCGCAGCTGTCCAGAGGGCCGGGGCTGGCAGGGAGAGGCCCCGTAGGGCTGCGAGTAGCGCAGCCCTGTCCCGGGCCCTCCGAGGCTGGCTCATGAGCGCAAGGGCTGGCCGGTCACGCGTGGGAGAGAAAGGCCCCTTCCCACTAAGGCGTCGCTCTCCTGTCCTCAGGCTGGGCTTCCCGAGAGTGCGGGCAGGGAGAGCTCCGAGTCCCAGCGCGCGTAATCATGACCTCGGGGCCCCCTCCGGGCAGCGTGAGCGCGTCGGCGAGGCTGGGCGGCCGCGGCGGCCCCGGCCGTGTAACATGACCCGAGCGGCCGGCCGGCCGGCGCGGCGCGGCCATAGAGCCCTCCCTGCCCATGAATCTCTGGCGCGTCTCTAGCTCGCTCGCCAGCTCGCCTCCCGCCTCCCTTTCTCCCCCTCCAGCTCCGCGGGCTCCGTGCGCCTCTCCCTCTCCCTCCCGGTCCTCCCGCTGCCCGTCTCTCTCCACTGCCCGCCTCTCGCCACTGCCTCCCGTCTTCTCTCCCTCACGGCAGCCTCGGTCTCTTTCTCCCTCTCTCCTTTGAAAACTGATCTTTGGCTCTTAGTGTGAAAGTGATTTGAATTTGGCTCGGCGGCGCTCTGCGCCTGCGCTCAGCCTCTGGCATGCTGGCTCCTTCCAAGCAGCTGTTTTGGGTTTGAAATTCCAACATGGCAGAGGCTGCAGTCCGTCTTCCCTTCAAAAACTTGGAATGATTTCAAATCATAGGCACCTTCACTTAACCCTAGCTTCCATTCATCAGCAAACACATCGGATCGATGCTACGCTAACCTATCGGGTTCTCGCTCTGCGCGTTCAGGTAAGAGGAGCTTCGTAGTTTTCTACCATCTGTTTAAATTTGATTTTGTTTTTGTTTTATTTTTAAAGAATATAAATAGATCCAAGACCTGTAATAAAAAGAGATCTCCGAGTTGTGCCGTAAACATTAAATTTAATTTGCATTCGTTTCTATTCGGTACGCCAACCTGCTGTCTAATTTCTCTGTACAAAGTAGCCCTGAAACATTATAATGCATATTTTAGCTGCTTAATCATTGTAACAATAGTATGGGATTAAGAGTTCGCGATTGAAAGAATCTCGTTTTTCGCTATATTGGGCTTACTTATTACTATCTTTTTTTTTACTTCAAAAATAAAATAAAAAGAAAGCGGAGCCATAGGGTGGGGCTAGACTTTCTTCGGGAACTAACTTCTAAGTAAATAAGAAGTGTAAATAAGAATCTTGCACACACACGAAAAGTTGAGGTTAAATTACAATCTCGTGGCTGGGGGAACCAGAAAAATGTCACAAGATCGGTTGCAAAAAAATGTAAGCACATCATTTGGAGGGGGTACAGCGTGGTGGGCGTATTGTTGGCAAGGAAAGGGAGAGAAAGATGTATAATTTAATGGTATATACAATCCACTGATCCTATTACCGTCCTCCCCGGAGCTCTTGTTAGTTTCAATGGGAGTGAGTGAAATTGACATGGACTTGCATTCCTGGTCATGTGCTTTTTTTCCTTTCTTTCTTCTCCTGTGATCTGAGATCCCCTTTTTGTTGATGTTGCTTTCCCCCTTAATTATATGCATGTAGGTTAAATGAATACCTGACGAAAGGGCCCACGTTTCAAGGCAGTGACATTTGATAGCTGAGAGGAAAAGTGGCTTTAATGAAAAGCAACCTTTGGAATTCCTGCTTGTGAGAAATCCAATTCAGCTTTTTGTGCTGCCAGCAAGAAATGATCAGTAGCACCAGTGTTTATGGTATGTCAGTTTTGGAATTTACTTCCTTTGCATCTAAATAGGAAAGACAAATTAAATAGCATGATAAAACCATTGAAGACTGCTTGAGAAGCAGATGTTCATGATACCTAATTCTTTTTTATTTAAAAAAATGTATATGTTTATTTTAATCTGTCACCATGCTTTTTTGCGTTTGTTATCACTTGTTTATGTATTTTAGTTTTGATTAACATATTACTTGAGTCCACTTTTATTGGGTTTAGCTGTAATCCTGAAGTTGCATGTTACTAGTAATGCACTGCATAACGCTGAAGTCAAATAGTATGTAAATTAGTTAAACTCAGTGTGGGTTTTTTTTTTTTTCTTCCTTTGAGGAGGTGGGTGGCAGAGGGGAGAGGGCGGGAGTGTGGAGAAAGATTGCTAACTAATGAAAGTATATATATGTACTCACACAGAACTGGGTGAAATTCTCTTTTTCTTTCTCAACCTATCATTGCAATTTGGCTATCTGCTCTCTTGATGATTGTACTTTGTGGAGTGATCGGTTCCTCTGTGTAGTTTTTTTGGGGTGAGTGAATGAAGGTATATCTTTTACATAAAAACAGACTATATATTTTCACTGCTCAAAGTCCTTATTCCAAGAAACAGTGGTAATTTTTTTCCTTGCCATTTACTTGTCTGCCTGTCAGCGCTTTTTACTTTTAACCTGTGACAGAATTAAATAATCAGGCACTGAAATTGACTTCATTTGAAATTGCTCTTTCCTCTTTCTTTGGGAAAAAAAAAAAAGTCAGTTAAATGGAGTGAGAGGGGTTTTCAATGGCTCTTGTGGCCGAGCTGTGTGTACACTGTGTGATATTCAATTAAGACTAAGAGGGAACAACAACAACAAAAAGATGTTAAAGTGTTTTGCATAATCAAAGGATATGTCCACTTTAAACTGTTTTTCTTTTTTGTTGTTGTTGCTGTCTGTTACATTTATCCCAACACCATGAATTTCTCCCGCAAAGAGAGAAAAAAGGAGAGAATATGAAAGAAAGAAATAACAGGGGGGCAAAGCTGCCAGGCATCTGTAGTGTGGCCGTGGTCACTGCTCTCTCATAACACAAATGTGAATACGAGGAAAGGGACTTCAAGACCCGTTGCGCGACATGCACTTCTAGTTGGACCCTGGTGACTATAGAGCTAAACACACACCGCTCTACACGATAGAAAGGATTTGATTGAATTTTGCATTTGGAACTTGTTGACTTTGAAGCGATCAATAAGAAGACTGTTTATTTTAGATGCACATAATTTGCCCTAAGAAATGTTTTAAGGAGGAGAGAGCACAGGTTTTTTTCCCCCGGAGCTGTTGGAGCGAATGGGATTGCCAGATGGGCGATTTCCCTCTGTGATGTTAAAGCTGTAATATATATTCAGAGCAGATTGGGCTGCTGCCTGTGATGAGGAGGATATTACATTTATAAATTTTAAATCGGAGCTCGGACAATGTGCTGAGAGCAGAAATTGGATGGTTTGACTGTTCACTGTATTGATACTTAAATGTGATTTCTGGGTAGTAGTAATAATAATCATTGTAATAATATATAAAAAACATGCTGGCATAGCAATCATATAATTCATGACATTTAACTGCAGATGTAAATGTGCAAATTGCTCCCCCCAAGTCTTCTACTTACTATTAAATAATAGTCACATAATTTATTTCTCTGTGTGTTTAAATGTCTGATGTGCAAATGATGTTCATAAGGAGGAGTCTTGTTATCACACACTAGAATTTTTTTTGGGGGGGGTAAGTATATGTATACAGAGAGAGAGAGAGAGAGAGATACACAGGAGACACTTGTGTATATGTAGAAAGTGGTGTTTGTGACTCCTATTTTCTAATTCTATTACTCGGATTATTTTTAGATTTTGTTTGTCTCCAATGTGTGGCCTAAAGGAAACAGCTACAAACCTAAAAGGCTAGAAAGTGGGCAAGCACTCACATTCTGGCAGCTCTGCTGTTGCAAATTAAAAGTGTGTTGTGGTCAGGAAATGAAAGCTACAATGTCTCTTTTGAACAAGTCGTTTATCAAGAGAAACATCTATCAGGGACTGCCTTGTCACATTGATCCTCTAAAAGTTAGGTCTGAGGTGGAAGCTGCTTTGATGTTTTTGATCCTAAATTTAATACAACAGAAAAAAAAAAAAAAAAAAGCAAAGATATTTTGACCAGTATAGATTTCTTTTCAAAAAATGTTTCCTGGAACCAACAAGATCTATTTATTAGTATTGTACTGTGTGTAAAGTTTTCAAGCCATCACAGTTGAAAGGCTGAAGGGGAAATCCCAGGCTTCATAAACTTGATGATAGTTAGAATATACATTTGTAATACATTCAGCTTTTTTTGTTTAATATAGACATTTTGGAAATAGATTGTTTGAAAGGAAAATTATTTTGAAAAAATGTTTGGAAGACTATGAAGAGTGTCAGAGGTTTTTCATTCATTTAAATTTTAGAGTTCTCTCTTCACTCCCTCTTCTATTTCTTTATTCCTGTTTACTAACTTCATTTTGTTTGTGACAAATTTGCTTTTATTTGGAAAAGAAACATTTTTCCCATGGAAACTGTGTTCCCAAATAAGATTGTATACAGCACTTCTATTGTTTATTAATTGTGCATGTGGATACTTATCAGTGTAAGCTGCATGGATTACAAATTCTTTGGAATTTCAGCCTGAAAATAGAGGTATCAGATTAAACATGTCATATATTCTTAAATACTGAATATGTTGCATCTATTATTTAGAATTCAAAAGGTATCGTTAAGGAAATGACCAAGTTTTTAAAAAAAATGTGAAAGCAGTTAAGAGCATCCTGCTTATTTTTGGAGGCAAAGATATGAAAGAAGTATTCCTTCTTTGAAATAGTTTTTGGATACTTGTCTTATACTGCTGGTGGCTACTTGTTTTTTCATGTAGGAGTGTTAAATAAGGAGAGGAGAGTGTGGTGGGAGTTTTGAGAAGTGTAATACTTGCTAATTAATCATGTCTGAAATGAAAGAATCATAGCAGGGTAATAAAATCTCATTGTTGTTTTCCTGGAAGAGGGTAAGACTTCTGTTTGGAAGCTGTGCATGTGAGTTGACTTGCTTTGCTTTTCTCCTGAAAAGATAGTTTATAGGGTCTCCTTGCAATTATTTTAAGAAATCTCTTTTTTTTTTTTTTTGAATTTTTTTTTCTCCTGACTGTATCAAATCTGTAAGATTCTTAAAACTATATGTGATATCTTCTAAGTGTAAACAGGATTTTTTTCTTTAATTATATTTAAGATTCCTGCATCTGAGTTTCCAGTGCTATTTTTTTTTTTCTATAGATAGAAAATCTTTTTGGTTGTTTTCATTCATGTTAAGAACTTTGGAAATCATTTTGTAGGCAGGTACTTCTGATACAAAACAGCAGAAATTTCATTAATTACTTTTAGATAATACGAGAGTATGACCAAAGGGGAGAAAAGAATTAGTATTTTCAAGAATCCATAGAGACAAGCTGTATTATTACTTGCCATTTCTAAAATAGTTTAAAACATAAGCAAGCTGAAAAGATAAATGAATAATTTATTAGAGGTGAATTTTCTTTTTTTCCCTAAGCTTCAGTTTGCCACTTTTTAGAATTTAATTCCTTGCTTAAGTTTTGCATAGAGCCAGATCCAAAAAGTTTGAGTCTCTACAATATTTTTCAGAATTCTCATCTCAGGTGTAGACCGGCTGTGCCAAGGCTTCCCTTTCTGTCTGTGTGAGTGTTTAGAAGCCTAGAATGTTTGCCTAATTAAGTAATCAGTTTTAATGGACCAAATCAGCAAAATTATTACTGCATTTGAAACAATTGCAGGCATTTATGTTCCAAACTTTCTAATTTCTTCTAAGAACCTTGGTTTAATAGAAATGTTTGCTGTTTTACCTTTGATCAATATATTCTTGAGTACAAATTTCATATGCTACTTTTATAAAGTACCACATTTATTGTTGTCAAGCTAGTAAATTTAATTACCAGGAATTTAAATTGATTTATAAATTTTTGATTGGGGGAAATTGTTCTGCAGACATTTGCGGAAATATTGACTACGTTACTGATGGGCAAGACTTGATTAATCAGCATATCTGCTTTTCTTTAAATCCTTGATAAAATAGAATAAGTAAATCATACAGAAAATGATGCAATTTCCTCCCTCAATTTAAAAAACTTAATATAATTTTCTCTTTCTTTTGAGATAAACAAAAGCTAATGTTTTACTAATCAATTGAACTTGGAAATTATTTTTTTTGAACCACTTGAAAGCAAGTTCAAATAATATTAACCTATACACACAGAACAATGATACCTAAGTTGTCCTTTTTGTTTGTTTTATTTTCTTTTTTAATGGAATTTTTTTTTAAGACTGCAAGCAAATGTTCAGTTTAGCACCCAATATTTTTCCTGGTTTTATCTTGTTACTTTTTCTTTTTTCTGATCTTTTTTTATTATTAACTTTTCCATTTAATTCCTGGTAGAAAACTCAAGCATAGCTGCTTTGATATGGTTATTGATTACTGATTCTTTTGATTTTTTTGGTGTTATCATTTAAAAGGCAATTATATTTGAGAGATGCTTACTTAAAAAAAAGTAGGTAATAAAAATAAGGAATGGGCAAAAATATGTTGTATTGGTAAGTTTGAAACAACTCAAAGGCAGGTGGGTGTACTGTTTCCTTACTCCAACACCACAGGTGCCTGTTTAGCTCTGCCTTAGGACAGCACATCCTCTTGCAGCACCTGTTGACAAGACCAGTCTTTGCTGAGGCTGAAGAGGCAAAAAAGATAGGTGATCAGTAACCATCAAAACAGAAGATATCATATGGCACTGTCTGTTAATGGTATTTACATATTTTATGCAACAAATCTGCTTGTTGTCTTGTTATTTGAATATTGACACTTTGTTTAACATTGCATATGGTGGGCTCTTGTTTCAGGGTAAATCAGAAGCAGGAAATCTAGAGGAG